GGACGCAAACTATGTGTGGTGGAAGAAAGGTTACTGAGAATTTTGTGCTATGATTTGAAATGCTTACCAATAAAACACAGACAACATTCTGTTCAAGGTTTTGCATCATAACATCAGACATTTTGAAACTGGACCAGAAAAATGCGTAAATTACTTTAAAATAGAATTTGCGTATCGATTAAGGTATGGTCTCACGCGGTTACTGATCTATCACTGTACAAGTAGGTGCCAGAGTAAGCGAATATTTTGTTCAGGTTGGGGCCCCGCACAGAATGGACGTCACTCACCATGTTGGCGTCAATCCAAGTGACGTCAATTCTGCGCGGGACCCCAACCTGAACAAAATATTCGCTTACTCTGGCACTTACCACACCTGAAAGCATCACAGAGGAGCCCTACCAAGTAGAGTGAGTATGATTCCAGTAAATAGCTAGTCGAATACATGCTTCCTGTAAACAGCTTGTCAATTACGGAAAATAACAACTACTTTGGTTTTGTGCCCCATTCAATATTTTTTATGAAAAAGAGTTTCGGGGTACGTTTCGTATAACAGTCAGGACCTCAAATCTCGTCGCTTTTACGGGTATAGGCTGCTACCTGACGAAGGCGCAATATCGTTGGGCGCAAACGCGGCTTTACTAGCCGCAGAGCGCATGAAGCGCAGGATCTACAACAATTGAAAAACCGCGCTCGTTGCGTTCGCGCCCGCTCAACTAATACTGCTTCTGCGCCTTCGTCATGAAGTAGCCTTTACATATATGCATACATACGTCTTCCGTCATTTTACCGTAGTTCGAAAAACCTGCAGCGGCGTTTGCTCTCGACCCCTTCATAACGGGAACGCCGCTTCCCACGCGGCAGGGATGTTAGTGCATACGCCTATTAGTGTGCCACACCTCTACGATCCTCATGACAATGAGATTCAAGCGGGCGCGCCTTTAGCCGAGCAGCTGCGCAAGAGCTGAATATTGAATGATTTTGAATGCTACTGATGTACAAAATGACAGATTTGTTTTTATGACTCTTATCACTGCTGAATATAGGCTATGACTCAAAAAGAGTCGTTCATTTTTACTTTTTTCTCTCCAGCAATTTCAGATGTTTTTACGACTTGTTATGCTCACCGTTCCACTAATATGTTCCAGTCAACTGAACTGCCGCGAAGTTGATGGACGTAAATCAGTGAGTAATGTGCACACGCAGCTGCATCAGAATTATATGCTTCAGAAATCAGTTCAATATACTTGTGTTCACCTGACCTATGAGAAAAAGGGCAATGCGTACAAAATAACTAAATTCTACTATGGTGTAGGAGCTAACAAGACGGTAAGCAGTCTGTTGGAAATAAGTTTCAGTTGACCTGGCGTCTAAAGCAACATTCCGTAGCTTTAGCTTATTTCTTGAGCGCTTATTGGAGAGCGTTAAGAAAATTCCAACTATTCCAAGAATTTTCTAGAATTACAGTGCTGGCCAAAAGTTTGCAGCCACTCTGAAATTCGGATGTATCTTACTTTGTTTCGCAAAGAAAAGTCTACGTTTCGACAGTACGTGCAAATCACACTGCTTGACACTATTTTAAAAATTTTTGCGGTTTATGCACACAGAAGGGGGCCTAGGGAATGCGAACACGGCATTGGTCAAAACTTGCATCCACTTTCTGCTTGCTGTCCGTGGAAAGCTTGTCACTTTTTAGTATCTGGGGTACAGATGCATTCTCAAGCCTTGAGATATGCAGTACTAGCATTCATAAAACTTCAGGAAAAGAAATGTTAAGGAGCAAATTTGCTTGAACGGAAATGATCGCAAAAATTGGATAAATCAGTTGTTGTCAAAAAATCGGCTGATCCATGTTCCTATGGAAAGTTGTACCTTCTGGACGTTTAGTGGCGGCTTGCGAACGTGACAGAAAAAGCAGTACTTGGCTTGCTGCAGAAATTTAGCATCACTAAGATCCAGAGTTTTAGCTCCAAATTTTGGCTCAGCGGATAGGAGGGGCTTGCATGATCCCGAGAGTCGCACGTGCGTACGACCATTGCGCCGTCACGTCATGTCTCTGAGGCAGGTGTCAAACTTACCCTGTCCAACAGGTTCATTCGGTCCTTCCCCTCTGCTATTGGCCATTGCATTGATTTGATAAATAGCGATGAGTG